CAATTGGGGTGGGAATGAGTCGTTTTGGATAAGTGTAATCAACCCCTTTCCAAGACTAAGAAACTAGCTTAATTTTCTGCCAACACCCTGCTTGTGTGGTGTGTATTTGGCGAATTGCCTGCAGAATTGCCCGGAGTGGGGTTCTAACCTCAAACAGAAAACAAAAGTGTTCCATGTGTTTTTCTTCCCCCCCCAAACAAAAAAAGAAGAACATAAAAGAGAAAACACGAAAAAAGAGGAGCGGAAAAGAACAACTAGTTCCCTGAAAAACACACCTGTTTCAGGAACCTCGAGCAAATTCCTTTGGGTCTTTGCAGCCGGCGGCATGCGCTTAAAAGAAAAAGGCCCTCCCATGCTGGCAGGTGGCCCTAAAAAAGGGGACACCGCTATTTGGTGTGCATGCGTTTGTTTCCAGACCCCCACCCAGTTGGCTCCTAATCTACTCTTTGGAATAAGAAGTCTTATGTGATTGCTGAATTCCGTCCCCTGCCTGGGAGTCCCATCCCGGACATGGTTGACCTATTTGGCGGTTTGCTTGTAGACTGTAAATGGGACACCCGCAGAAGCTCCAAACCAGGCTCCAGACCAGTTGTGGGGGAAGCTGAACGGCGTTCAAAACAGGAAGATCCACCTGCCCAAAGCGCGGCATGTCAGTGGAACTATGAATGATTGGCAGATGGATTTTCTCAATTGCACCTCTCAAAACCTTACCTCTTAAAAACACAACTTTTCAACTTTTTGGGTAACATGGGCTATATGTCTGTAAAAGATTAACTTCCCCAGGGCTTGGAGTTTTAAGGGGTAAGAAACCGGTCTGGTCAAATCCCCCCTAAAACCGGTTGATTTCCCTTGCAAAAGCTGTAGAACCCACTCCAAGCCCCGACGTCACGGGACCTGGCGGCCTTCGGCCCCTAGGTCCCTCAGTAGTGCCCTTTCTCACCCCTTTTTGGTTGGGAGGGTTTTTCTACTAAAATAGACCACAGCAAAAAGGTTGGCGCTCTTATTCTAACCTCTCCACTGGAGGAAATCCCAGTTTTCCAGCCACGGCTTCGGATTTTGGGCAGCGAAAGGGCGGGCGCGGCGCGGCTGAGGTGAAGGTGTCCAGCGCTGAGGCGCCCTCGGGGCTCTGTGCCTGCGGCGCCTCGGCTGGTTTTGGAGGCGTTCAAGATGATCCTAAGGTTGGCTGGGAAAGAAGGTACTCGTATTTCAAGGGGTGGTAGTTGGCTGGTAGGTAGGTACGTAATTAGGTAGGTATTGGTTGGTTGGTTGGTTGGTTGGTTGGTTGGGTGGGTGGGTGGGTGGTTGGTTGGTTGGTTGGTTGGTTGGTTGGCTCGGTGGTTGATAGGGTTGGTGAGTTGGCTAGTTGGTTTAAGCTGGTTTGCCAATTTGCTCACAGATGGGGACTGCGGACGCCTTCTTTTTGAGCAACCTTGTGAGGCCGCTCTTGAATTGCCCTGAGCCACCGTGTTTGTTTGACTTGTTTTTGGGGCGTGAAACCCAATTTGGGCACAAATCCACGTGGCGTTTAACAATGACTCAGTTGCTAGAGTTGTTTTTGTTGTTACGTTTTTGCGGGCTGGTCTTTTGTCGCACCTCTTTTCTTTTGGCCTTTTGTTTCGCAAACAGCTTCCAGCAAGCAGCTGGGGCTTAACATGTTGGCTGGGGTTCAAGGACCACGTGGAGATGGTCTGAGGCGGAACCGCTATGCAAATCTGGTGGAATTCCATGCAAAACACATGAGCAACCCAGTGATTCTCCGCCTGTTCTATGCCTGCCGAGCTCACCTGGGGGCAAAACAAGCTCACCAAGATGTAAGTCCCTTACCTATCTCAGGCTTGGCATTATTGTGAGCATTTGAGATCTTTTCTGTCTTTTTTTTTGTGTTTCCAGGGCGGCTTTATCATTGCCCAGGGCTAAACAGTTGAAGCACTGCCGCGGGCCACTGGACTGCCCACGTCAGGAGCCACCTCTCAGCCAACCACGGGATGAGATTTCTTCCGCGGGTTGAGTCACTCGGAAATCGGAGCCCCATTGCGCATATGGTGTCAACTTTTCATAGCCACCCCCCTGGGTTTCGGCCAGGTGATGTCTAGAAGCCTGAATTTCCTCCATGGTTCTCTTACCATTTGTTTGTTGTCCGCGGTTTTGGGTGCTCTTCCGGAAACAAGGATCCCCAAAACGGGGAAGTTACTGCCAGACTAGCAGGCCAGAGATGTTCCTTTTCTGTTAGGTAGTTCCCTTTGTTTGCCAAAATACACAAAAACAAATGTTCGAATGGAATGGTTGGCTTGGCGCCTGCGAGTCACAAGAGTGACTGAAAGATAGTCGGTAGAGCTGTTCTATGTTGAATGACTTTTCCTTTGGCTCGTCATCCCCTTCACTTATCATACAGGGATTGTGCCATTTCACGGTGTACATAGTTACAGGCGCGAAGAGGTTCTGTTGAGTAGCTCCTGTACCCAAACTGGCACCCTCCCACCATAGAACCTGGCCGTCCAAAAAACATTTTCCTCAAGGGGACATTTCTCCGACAAGTTTCACGTGGGTTGGCTAAAGTACCCTCGAAAAGCGACACACCCAAGTGAGCCAGAACTAGGTGCAGCCGCCTGTGTAATTCTTTACATGGTCGCCATTTTATTGCCAGGGTTTGATTGTGACCCAAGTGAGGCTCCCTCACTTCAGACTTGCGAATGCTTTCTGGGAGGGGGAGCTCGCTCGCTCTCGGTCGCTGAGGCATGTGGTGATTCCGCTTCCATCACCACATCTGGCGCTGGGCTCAGGATTTGGGGGATTCGGGGGATTCGAGGGATTCGGGATTTGGGATTTGGGATTCCGGCCCAGCTAGGTGCCCTTTCTCACCCTTTTTTGGTTGGGAGGGTTCCCCTACTAAAACGGACCTCCAGAAAAAATGATACCAACTTAGGTCGATGGCACCGGTTAGACGTCAGCCCACTTCCGCCCATGCTCAGGTTTGCCTTGTGAGCGAGCTGACAAATGCGCATGCGTGAGGGCGGGCTTGCCGCCCTCGCAGATACACACTTTGGTTGTCTTGTTGGTTCAGTTAGGTTGAACATAGCTGGGGTAGACTTAGGAGTGACTTAGGATAATTTTTTACATTTTACCAGTGACTCAAAGTGAAGCAAACAATAAAATAAACATTTTTTTGCTGCGCCCATCTCTATGCATGATAGAGGTATTCCGCTGGTTTCAGTTTGGTCCCAATAATGGTTTTCCCGACACGCCTCTGCAAGGGACAGGCTGGACGTCTTCTTTGGCAAAAGGTGCAATTTTGATCCAACAAGTGAATGATTGAGTGTGTGAAAACGGGTTTGGACAAAGTAGAGCGATCTCACGAGGGTTTTGGTTTACGAAACTCCCATTTTCTGAAGTTCCAGGTTGACTTGATTCAGTTGACCCAGACCATTTGTTTGAACAAGGGGCCCGGAAACTGGCTGCCCTCTTGGATTTTTGTTGGAAGCAACATGGAGTGGAGTGGAGGAATTCACAGCTTGTGACATTCCGCAACTCGGTTTCCGCAAAATTCGTACGTGTTTTTTTTTGGGGGGTTCGTGTGTTTGGTTTTTTTTGGTCCAAAAAGCCGGTTCGGGCACAGCCCGTTTGGCAGTTGCCGGGTGTTCTTGGCAACACCTCACAAAGAATTCGTGCCGCCGGGGATGATGGTCCTCCGGCGGATAGCGGGCCTGCCGCACCAAGGAAAGCAAGTTGCAAACGTCGCATGCGGTCGCATGCCGAGAACTCGGCGCCACTTAGTCAAAGAGATATGTCACGTGGGATGTTTGTTGTTCTGAAATTGTGTTACATATGAAGATTCTCCTATTTGGGCCAACATCACGTTTTTTGGTTGGGGGCAAACACTGACGTCGTGGAGATGCGGTTTGTCCATCATATATCGAATCTAGTCAAAAGGTTCCTAGCAAATTTAACCGGGGGATGTGCACATGTGGACAGTTTCTGGGGTCAAGATTTAGCTAATATCAATATGGTTCGACTTCTAGACTCCCTATTCAACATGCCAGGGGTAAAAAACCAGGACCAGGTTTTGGTGGCTGATGTTTAGCTTCAGAACCCGAATGACATTGGTTTGGGACATAGACTAGGTCCCCCAGTAGGGCCCTTTCTCGCCCCTTTTCTGGTTGGCAGTTCCCTACTACTAAAATAGACAGAAAAAAGTTGGTACCCTTATTCTAACCTCTCTACTCAAAACCTAGTAGAGCACTGCAAAATGTGTCTCTTAGGGACCTATGAAGCTACCCTCCCCCAGGTAATTGATTCCATGTCAGTTTTTCAGGGCCCCTTGTGCAAGACTAGATTCCATTTATGGAAGCCAAGTGGAGCTTCCGGCTGTCAGTCGGGAGTGTAGCCGACTTTTTTTGAAGCAGGCTCAGAACGGCCATCTTGCGACGTTTGGCCAGGAGTTGGTTGACCGGGCAAAGGTTCGCCGGTTTTCAGGCGTGAACCTTTGGCTGGAGCGGCCAAACTAGCTTGGGGCGCGCATACGGCTGCCCAGTCTTGCCTCGTGGCTTGCGGCACAGTTTCGAGCCACCATTTTGTGTTTTGCACGGCGGGTGAAGGAGGGGCTCGTACCCAAGAGAGGCGTTGGTAATCATATCTCAACAAAGTCACACGCCCATTCCATGCTTGAGACTTTGCTTCGAAGACCTGCCTTTGCCGCCAGAATTCGATGCTGACATTGAATGACCAGCCACGGTTTCAGTCCAACCGGCTTCACTTGCCAAAACGAGTCCGATGCGGCAGCCGCCGGGGGGGGGGGGGGGCGGGCGCTGGTGCATGGCATTTCCTAGGCGCCGAGTTCGACTGGTGTTTCAACCAGCCATGCGCTTGAACGGTTTTTAGTTGTACAAGAAGTTAAGCGCTTGCAGGGGACAGATTTAGCAATCGCATGACATGCCGAAAATTCGGAAGGAATCCGAATTGCCATCTGCGGAAGTGAGACACCAGAAAAGCCCTGGGATTCTGAGGCGTGCCTTCCTCAGCGCTGGGAGGCAGCGTCGGGGGCTGAGCTCTGGTTGGCCTGTGGTGTTAGGGGGGGCGCACACCTGGGTGGCTGGGTGTGTCTTTTCAAAGGTTGGGCCCGGGAAAACGGACGTTCTTTGGGTTTCCCAAAAGAACCTGAAAGAACTCCAAACAGGGGTCCCCCCAAAAGGAGACCCGGATGTTTGAGTTTTTTTTTTTTTTTTTTTTTTCCGGTGCCATTGTGATTAAAACATCTTTGTTTGCGGTTTAAAAGGTGAGCCAAAAGGAGAAGCTAGATCCATCTTGGGGGGGTCCCTACAAAGACACACCCATGTTCTTGAGTGTTTTTTGTTGGCAATCATCATTGGTTCACGGCGTTTGTTTGGTACCACTCGATTTGACGAGGGGAAACGCCTTCTTTTCTTGCTGGTTTTGTTTTGGTGGGGGGGGTAGATATTTGGCATGGAGAGACGCCCATATTGCTGCTTCTGAATTTGTTTTAGCCTGTGGTCAGAGTAAAGGGTCGAACAACCCAGTTACCTTGCTTCCCGGGGATGTGTGGAAGTCAGAGTAGATGAAGGCCTCTGTCCAACACAAGCCTCAAAGCCAAAAGTGCTGTGTATGTCCTGAACCGTTGCAAGTAGAGGGCCAAGGGCAACCCTTTACTTGAAGTCTATTCGGGTATAACACGAGCCCACGAAAATGTCGGCCCTGTGCTTGGAGATTCCTTCTCTCATGGTTTGAATTCTCGATTAGATTGCAGATACGTGGGAGCTTGTAGGAAAACATCCCCCTCTGGTCCACGTCCCTCTGAACAAGCCTCCCACTATCTCCCACTCCTTGGCGCAGAGTCCTAGCGGCGGACTCCAGCCACACGTGAAGCTATGTGTTGTTTTTGTCGGAGACGAACATGTGTGTATCTGGCTGGTAGTTTTGTTGAGGGCAATTACTCTGCGTTTGTCACGGGGCAATTGAAAAGGGGTGGTGGTCCCTTCAAAAAGATGCCCAGTTGTTTCCCTTCACTGTTGTTGGCATGCTTTTAGGTGTTTATGTTTGTTGGGCTGTTCATTTTTAGTAGGGGGCTGCAAAAAGAGTCCTGTTTTTGCAAGCCGCTACCAAGGGTTGGACGATAACCCCTGGTACAGTAAGCGCTGCTCACCCCCTGAGTTGCACTTGTTTTGACCAGCCCACTCAGGAGCTGAGTTTGTCTTGCTGGTGTGCGGTAGGGAATCTAGGAACGAACCAGAAGGGGAGTCCCTTAAATGGAGCCACTTGGATGCTTTATAAGGGTCATTCCATGTCTCATTCCCTGAGCACCAGCAAGTTGTGTACCCCTTCTTTAGGTGTTTCGGATTGTTTGTTCTCTTCTTGCGTTTAGCTAACAAAGTTGGTGAAGCTTTTCCTTTGGCCCCCCTTCTTGGCCGAGGAACAAACAAAGACACCCAATTGTTAAAAACCGAAAAAAATGCGTGGCTTTTCCTTCAAGGTCAATTTTTTGGACCGGGAAAAAGTTTCGGCCCGTCTCTCCGTCCCAGGCAACTTCTGCTGGAGGCGGCCTGGGCGCGGCCGGAGAAGGCCCACGAGGGATGCCTCACCCTCTGCGCCATGAAGGGGCCCGGGGACCCGATGCCGAAGGCAGTTCTAGGGATACCTTCCGCATTCTTTCCAGGGATCCGGATCTTTCTAGAAAACCTCCTTTGAAACCCAGGGAAAACGACTGGTTTTTGAAAAGAACAATGGTTGAAAAGAATGGGGAATCAACCCCAAGAGCAGTTGGTGAATTTTTTGCATTGGACCATGGGCTCCTTGACTTTCCCCAGAACTAGCTCCCCAGAAAAAAGGAAATAGTTTTTCGGCTTTTTTGGGGTCTCCCTTTGTTTTCCACCCAGGCAAAACAGATATATATATATATACATATATTTTTGCTGGGGTCCTGATTCCAGCCAAGTTAAAAGATAAATAAGAACAACAAAATAAAGGGAAACCACCATTTACAAGTTGCAATGTTCAGGTGGGTGTATAATGTAAGGATCCCTGTTGGTGGTTCAGGGGCCTTTGGTTGACACACCCAAACAGGCCAATTTGGTTTTTGGGTGTACCCTGCTTCGGCTGATTCGAAAGTCAAGCAACCCTCAGTTTCTCATTTGGATCAGGGGCTTGAACCCCCGGCTCTTGAAGAGGGTGATTGGGACACCGCACCACCTGTCACCTTTTTCCCCAACAGCTGAAAGCTTTGGGGTCTCAGCCCAGATAGGCTCCGGGGTGGTCCGGGGCGGCCCTGAGGTAAGGTTCTACAAGGGTTCCACGAGGGTTCCACCAGACTTCCACCTGGTTCTGCGAGGGCTGCGGGGTGGTCCGGGCCACCAGGGTTTGACCAAGTTCTACGAGGGCTGCGGGGTGGTCCGGGGTGGTTTGAGGCAAGGTTCCACGAGGGTTCCACCAGGGTTTGAGGTAAGGTTCCACGAGACGAGGGTCCAACGAGGGTTCCAGGGTTCCACCAAGTTCTGAAAGGCCTAAGGGCTGCGGGATGGTCTGGGTGGTTTGAGGTAAGGTTCCGCAAGGGTTCCACCAGCGTTCCACCAATTTCTGGGAGGGCTACGGGATGGGGTGGGTTTGAAGGTTCCACGAGAGTTCCACCAGGGTTCCACCAGGTTCTGCGAGGACTGCGGGGTGGTCCGGGGTGGTTTGAGGTAAGGTTCCACGAGGGTTCCACCAAGGTTTTGAGGTCAGGTTCCCACCAGGGTTCCACCAGGTTCAACGTAAGGTTCCACGAGGCACCAGTGTTTTACCAGGTTCTGCAAGGGTGGTTTGAAGTAATTCCCAGGGTGCCACCAGGTTCTGCAAGGGCTACGGGGCGGGTGGTTGATCAGGGTCGAGCAAGGTAAGGTTCTAGCAAGGCTGCGGGGGTTCCATGAGCTGTGGCTGAGGTAAGGGTTTCACAGCAGTTCCAAGGATTCGACAAGGGTCACAAGGCTCCACAACGCTCGACAAGTTCCACAAATGTGCTGCAAGAAAGCAATGTGTCGTGCCCCCACCGTCTGAAAAGCCATCGGAGAAGTAAATTGAGGGCTCAGAAGACTCGCTTTGCTCATGGGCGGAACACTCAGCAAAACCGAAATCAATGGTTTCCAGCACACTTCCCTGCAAGGCTACGGAATAAAATTCCAAAAGCGCTCCACGAGGCTTCCACCAGGTTCTGCAAAAGCTATGGAGCAGCCCTGAGGACAGGTTCCAACCACGTTTCACGCTGAGCCTACGAGGGTTCCACCCAGTCGGGCAGGTCAGGGCCCGATTGCACCGTTGGGGCCCGATCGGGCCCCGATTGCGCGGGCCCCGATCGGGCCAAGCCGGTATCGCCTAGCTTTGCTAGATACACTTGCAAGGCCGCATCCTAAGCAAAACCGGCGTTCAGCTATAATATGGGTGGCTGGGGTTTGGTGGGAGCCCGCTTGCGCCACGGGACTATCGGGCCCCGGTCGGGGCCTGATTGCACCATCGAACCCCACTCGGGCCCCGATTGCACCGTCGACCATCGGGCCCCGATCGGGCCCCGATTGCGCCGTCGGGCCCCGATCAGGGCGCGATTGCGCTGTCACTCTTAGCTTTGCTTCAAAAAGTTACAAGGCGGCATCCTCAGCAAAACCGGCGGTGAGGTGGGTCCCGGGGCGGGTGTGGTGCTGTTGGGGATATGGCCTGAGCTTATTTTTTGGTTGGGAGGGTTCCCCTACTAAAATATTCCAACCACTCTACTGGAGGACCTAGTGATGCTTCCCAACTCCGCTTCCTTAGGCTTTAAGCTTTGAATTTCACCCGCAGGCTAAAGCAACTTTTCGCGGATCAGAAAACGGAGCGCCCAGAGACATGAAACCCCACAAACACCCACCATTTCTGGGGTGCATTTAAGAATGTCAAAAAATATTGTGTGTTATTTGTGTGTGTTCTCAATGTTTGTTTGTCGCTGGCATTTTCGAGAAACAACGGTAATTGGCTCGGCAAGGCTTGTCACGGCTTGTCACTGAACAACTTCATTGCAAGGTTTACCCTTTACCTTTTATGGATGTAAACTTGGTTCAACCCTAAATGACTTAGCAATGTCAAACCCATGAAACACGTGTAAGTTTGGGGAAACCCTACGTTGCTTGATCCCTCGTTGCCAACGGTGGGTTTACCTCCTAGCGACCGACATTTAATAGTGACTATGTTACTATACGAGGCCCTGGGGCTTTCATGATTGTCTCGACCACGCGATGAGGCCACTTGACGCTGTCGTTCAGCGTCAGCCCAACAAGCTGAGCACCAGCAAGCCTTCGTTTTTGGGGCACCGGTTTGTTCGGCCCGTTCGTGGCGCGATCTTCAGGGGCTACTGACAAGCAGTACTTACTTGGGAGGTTATATAATATATATAATATAACTTGCCCTGGGTGTCTTGTTGCAGGTGATACGTAACTTTGGCTTTTTGATGACCACGCGCCAGGATGAAGAGGCTGAGTTAGACTGAGACTGGGTCTCTGTGTGTCTCTGTGTGTGCAAGACTACGAGAGACCGTGTAGTAAGTACTCCTGAGGGCAGCGATGAATCCCGAGCACAGCACCACCCTGGGCACAAGTGGCATCATCATTTCATACAAGCATCCAAGCTGCAAACATCAAAAAAGGAGTGGCTTCCCCGAACATATCGTGTTTCATTTGCAGGCAGGCAAAAGCTGCCACAAAGAGGACTTGCTGGGTGAATCCGGCGTTTCAAGTCCGCTCCTTCGCCGCCTTGGCGGGTCCTGAGTGAGAAGGAGTCCTTTTTGGAAACTCCGTAGCAGGTGAATCAAGCCCGGGCTCGGGAGAAAACTGCCATCGGGCAGCCACGGTCAACCATGCTAAGCTACTTTTTCAATGTGAACCAATTTGCAAACTGCCAAGGAAAAGTGCAACAAGTTCAAGACCGTGGCTGCGAGCGCTGTGGCCTTTGTCATGGAAGGGGAGCAATGCAACGACCGTGAACTTTGCCCAAAGCTAGTTCTCGCATTAAATGCTGCCGCCTAGTTTTGCTGAGTTGTTTTTCCTCACAGAAACTGGCAAGGAACTGGCCCATATTCTTCTGAAGGTGACGGCTGAGGATGCCATCAACTTTTTCTTGGAGGTTGACAAATCGAAAGCGATGTTTAGGGGGAGCTGGTAGGCCTCAGGGGTGTAGTAGGCACCAGTAGGGGCAGCTCTGCGGGGCACGCGGGAGTCAAAACAGAACACTAGCCTCAGAACTCATTGGTTCCAAAAATAAATTAATTGCGGGTTTTGTAAAACAAAAAGTCTCGCATTTAAGCTAACCCTGAGTCTTCAAAAGTAGTAAGTTTACTATTTTAGTAAGTTTATTAAAATCGAAGAATTTACTAGTAAAATTTACTATTTTTACAAAATTAGTAAATTTGCACGGGATCAGAAAAACACAGTCAGAACGCCCCAAAATAAGAAGAAACCAATGGAGGGAGTGCATGGGAACATGCATGTCAACGGCAAAAAAAGCTCAGCTTCCCACTTCACAAGTAAGAACGAGCACGCTTGATGGTCCTGAGTCGGGCCTCCTGCTTTGCAAGCACAAGCACCAATATCTGCAAGTCTAACCTACACTGCACATGTCACAAGTAAAAATTTCTGTGTAAAACCCATAAGGCACCGGCAAGCACAAGTCATACGGAGGTTGCCCCGCAAGTAATTTGTCATTTGTTTCGCGAAGCAGCCCGTTCAATCCTCAAGCAACGAAATCCTTGCAACTCATGCGGTGTTCCCTCGAAGCGCCTGCGCCAGCCGTTCTCTCGGTGAAACTAGGGCTTCGTTTCATTCCACAGCTTCTGGAGCCGCTGCATTGTCGCCTCGCCCTTGTAACACCAAACGATGCTTGGGTGAATGCACCTTGCCAACCACAGGGAATGCAAGCGAAAAATGCATTTTCTTGCCAGAGGTCTCGTAGTACTCCTGCAACTGACAGCGCAGTTTGCGCTCTTCTTGCGCTTTTACATGCGAATCCCACGTCACAGATTTACTCGCGCACTTACTTGCGATCCGAAGACTTGTCGGCATATTCATCTTTGGTTTTTTGTACGCTTCTGGTTGCCTGTCCTGTGGGGAGACATGTGATTGAAGTGCGCTGGCGCGCAACCCTCTTTACTTGTGAGCGACTGATTTCCCTGGCTGAAGCGTGAAGCATTTACTTGGGACGCATGTGGCACATGGCAAGCTCATTGGACTTTATTTACAGACATACTTCTGAACGCAGGCTATTGTTGTGGCATTGCGCACAATGCGCAACTTCCGAGGGCAAGCGAAACACGTTCAGTACACTACTCGGCAGATGTTTTTTAAGTTCGAAAGTGTCCTCAGACTACGAAATCAACGAACATCGTTTTAGGACACTTCACGTTTTAATCCCCTTACCTGCAACAGCACAACCCTAAAGGACATACAACTTTGTTGCTTGTGTTTTGGATCTCCCCATTTCCGTATTTGCGCTTCAACCAGCAAGCCTCCTAGTTCCAGCATACCTTTCAACCTTGAAGTTTTTGTGCTTTCGAAATCCAAAAGACCGGGAGTCGTGTCCGGTTGTTGGCGACTTTGCGTTGTTTTCCCGA